TTAATTGATGATATTAAGGTAGATAAGTATGTTTATTGTTTGAAGAAAGATCCCTTTGAAATTTAAATGGAAAATAAATTAGAGATGAAAGAAATTATATATAAAAGAAGATTGGCGATAGGTTAGTTTCGTCAATTATTAGTTAATTTTTCTAGAAAACATTATATAATATAAAATGGTGACGATAAAATTTGTACTATCACATTTATTCTTTTTTTGGAAAGACGACAAACGACAATCATTTGTTGTCTTTCCAAAAAAAAAAAAAAACGAAGTCATTGGGGAAATTTTAAACAAACATTTTTATTGTAAAATATAAATAATTCTGAAAAAAGGGATAAAACAGAAGTTATATAAATGCATATAACATTCACATGGAACAAATAGACAATATTTGAAAGCAAATTCAAATAATTCAAAAGGAAATTATTAATTCCCTTAAAAATATGAGATGTAATAATTGAAGAACGAGGACGGAAGCGATGGAAAATAATGCCATTTATGGCTTCAATTGATTCAAAAGACAATTTGATGGTATCGGGTAATGATCCAAAATGTGATTAATTGTATAATGTTAGATGATCTGAAGGATACTTGATTTGTATAGTATCAATACAATCGAACAATTTTTCATGCTGATGAAAAAGAAAAGCATTTAAGATGATGGAGAAATGAAATGTTTGAGAAAATAAGGTTTATAAAAATATTCATAAATTTATGAATAATATGTCATTTCATATCATTTACCTGCAGACTGAAATCAATTTCAAGGAAATGTTCTAATTAGATGAGTGAGAAAAGAAAGGTTTAATTAAAAAAATTGGAATGATTCGAACGGTTGCTTCATAATAGGATGGTTGCATACGATTTCATGGAAATGATGTTTGTTCCTCAATAGGCATATGATATTAATTATAAGTTATGATTAATTTAGTTCGACATTATTTATCGAATATATTTTTTATTGCTTTTAATGCATAAAATTTAATTGCTTGTGCTTATTTTATGCGATACATAAATAATTGACAAGAATAATAAGAGATGTCATTTCTATAATTTCTAAAAGATGACAATCAGTCGGTACTATGAACTTGTTGAAATGCTTTTCCGTAATGTATCCATATTGCTAATGTCGTTGATAGTTTGTACACTTATTTCTTGTAAATATCATGGAAAATCGAAGGTAATTTATTAAGATTAAGAGAAGAGAAAAAAAGATATTACATGAGGTTGAAGACTTTGCATGAATTTTAATTCGCTTTTGGGCCATTAGAAGACTATTGTTTTAATTGATTATCTCCAATCTCTAGCTATAAATATTTTCCTCTTTCAATTGAATTAAATTTGAAGTTTCATTATTATCCCGAATTCCCTTATCATTTGAATTGGTAAATACACTGAGTAAATAAATTTTTAGGATCCAAAATTCATTGATGAAAACGACCCTCATGCTAAAACGTTATATAATATTAAAACCGATATTGCATTCCCGAAATGGGTATCGAAAGAAAAGGGGCAAAACCCTCGAACAGATTTAATCGCCATAAGTTGGAGTCACGAATATGAAAGCAACATGCCATCATCTCTTTCACTATCTCCCTCTACAACACTTTTAAATTCCAAAAAAGACTTGAAGAGTTATGATGATATGCAAAAACCAAGTTCACCAAATCCGCAAAATCTACTGCAACAGCAGATATTGATTGGCTCACAAAAATAATGAAAATTTACCCACCTCTCTAAAGAAAATGAATAAGGAAATCGCACTCATTTCTTTCTATTTCGATCATTCTCTCCGATCGCAATAATTCCAGAACTTCAAATTGACAATCTGGACAATTATTTTTTCAACGCTATCATTTAAGAACTTTAAAAGTTCTGCTAATTTGATTTTCTTGCAAAAAATTAATCTCATATGTTCTTTGTACTTTTTCAGTATATTTTACAACAGTAATAGTTCTTAATTTGAACACTTTTTTAAAATACGAAGCAGCTTTATATCTGAAATCATATACGTAATAAATTTCTCAACCTTACCATAACATTTCTATAAGCCGGCAATCCCACTGTATTACAAATATTAACACCCTAGTGGTACCAAAAAAAAAAAAAATGTATGGTCGTTATGTCGGAAAAGTTAAAAACTAGCTATATTTTTAATATATTAGACTATTAAATAACTCTCTTGCACTATATTATTATCAGACATTGTATGATAGCTGACAAACACTTAACTTAAAACAGTATCATTATGACTGCACAGTGTGGCAATCATCAGTAGAAAATTATTTTCTGATTTAATGGAAGACATATTCCAAAACATTAGCTCAGTAAGTTGGGGACGATAATGCAGAAATATAACTTTTTCAATATCTTTTATTTTAACAGAACACGTCGAAAAATAACCATGCAGACAAAAAGAATACCACCGATTTCAAAGAAGTATGCGTCTCAATTCTGATTGCTTAAATTTGAATCCCACTTTCTTAAATTTATGAAATTTCACCTAAGACAGTAAAATTCATTCTAATGACGAGACTTTTGTGGTTAATATCCTTAATGCCTAACATTGTCAAACAACTTAAATAGTGTGAACAACAATTCACAATTAGACTAATCAATACCTCAATAAAACAACAAAAACAATTTCGATATTTAATGCTGCTTTTTCCGAAACGAACATCCTTCTGTTAAATGGGCTTTTCCACCAGTCGGTTGGCATAGTACTGTATTACATCCAACGCAAACTACTACCGACTGAGCGTGACTGAACACTGTTGTAATTTTGTAACATCCTGGACATTTTACATCCATAAAGAAAGAATTCGGTTGCTGTACTAACCTCTTCAATTTACACCGCTCTCGTTCCTTAAAACGAAGATTTAATTTCGTTAAACTTAAATTTGATCATTAAAAAATTAAGAACAATGAAATACTTGGGACCTCAGTTAAGAAGGTACCTGACAAGTGACAATGGGATTTGTCAAGAATTGTAAACTCAAATAGAGCCGCAGCAAAGCTTGAAACATAACACAGCTAACTAATAAAACTTCAGCGGAGTACCAAAATAAGCTCTGAGTTTGATGCATGCAAAATTTCCTCACTACCAACTCAAGAAAGCAAACTTTACGTTGGAGGGATGAAAATACAGAAATAAACTTTACCTTTTGAGGATCTGGATATAATAAATCTCGTGCTAAGGGCATTTTTATATCGAATGAAATATAACTATCCAAAAGTACTCGTTTACCTGAAGCAACATGGCATAGGTAAAAACAAGTGATAAACAAAACTTCCAAGTTATCTCAAGGAGTTGAGATTTCTCTTTAAAATACGAATATTAAAGAAACATGAATCACATCATACATATTATGCAGAACTCCTGAAATCTCAAAACAATTGTTGCTCCTTTTCTATTTTATATTGATCACATTTCTGAAATAATATCAAAATTTGATTCTTCCTAATCCTCTGAAATGCACACGACAGCACAAACATGCCATACCATACAATTCAATATGAATTAGGACATTGCCTACTCTTGTTCCCAGTCATTCTAATTTACCTACTTAAAATTTTGCAAAACGTCCCTCACGTGACCCATCTAACTCGTACCACGCAATCCCTCACCATGAACATCAAACTGCACAACCAGACAAAACTCATCTCCTTTAGCCTCTTTCCCTCTCCTAACACGTTTATTGCCCTAACAACCCATTGCGACTACAACACTAAACTTCGGTCGAGCAAAGTTCGCACCTGCAAAGGTAAGCTATAGCTCATTCGTTTTTGGATGTGAGTTTTGCTGCAGGGAAGTGGGAGAGGGGTGGTTTTAAGTCTGAAACGCCTGATTTCACACCATCTTTCATTCCCAATAACGGAATCGATTGATTAAACCTCACACAATTCCGTGGATCAATTCCAACTCATGAAATTGCGAAGTCCGAAACGTATTCTTCTACAGGCACAGTAATACATTTGCAAGTGTTATGAATGATTTAAATTCCGTTTTTTGGAGCAACAATCGCCATGACTTTGCCTCCATTTTTTATTTCGGAAGGCTGTCAGGTGCTATTTTGAAATATAATTCTTGAACAAATAGAGATTTGCTAATCACATGTGATTTCATTGAAAAGTTAACAGAGCGAACTGCGAACCACATCTTTTACTCAATTAAAAATAAAAAGTTTGTTGGATTTCTCCTTAAATTATGTACAATGCAACTTTCCCTTGACTCACACACACACACACACACACACACACACACACACA